TTCTTGTTAACTAAGCACACACTACTGACATGGATGTAACACTGTGTGTGAAATAATTTCGAGAATAATGTGTTTGTGTTAAGTAGCAAATCATATTTAACCGTGCGTTGATTAATTATTCACGCAGGTAACTTCACGTGTGGCGAGTAATACTTTAAAAGATTTGAATACGCTTCTTGTTACTGAGAAGATAAGTGAATGTAAAGCAAGCTTAGCCAAGCCTTGTGTTGGGAAGATGAACGGAAAATCTGATGATAGACCCTTACCAAACACTATTGCTTTCTTACTTGTTTTTTTAGCCATTATGGACATTTGCTTCTGTTTTGACTCGATCGAGTACTTTTTTCAGGTTGTCACTGCGCCAATGCATACTGTCAACGCTATAGCACTTGAGGCGTATAAAAAGTACATATTGGTTTCTCTCATTCACTCTGGACATGTAAGGCTTTGTTTATAAGTCGTATTTTTGTATATCTAGTTTTATTTCGTGGGAGTGATCATGCATGAGCATGATCCTNTATGTTTATAGATAGCTCATATTTTTTTATCGTTCACCCTTTTTGTCAGCCTTACACTGAAGTGGGAAATTGCTTCAACGAAGGGAAAATCAGGGAACTAGAGGCAGTGGTCGTGGCCAACAGCTCAGATTTTGAAAAGGTAAATTTCCCCTAAACACTCACTTGTCACTGACAGACGACAGTAATCTTCCTATAGTTTTTGTACTGATATTTCTCAGTTCCTAATTTGTTTCACTATTTGGTAATTGCAGAGTGAATGGCGTGCTATAGGAGTTCAGCAAAGTCATGGATGGGTCCACTATGCTATTCATCAATGTGGGAAGAGTGGGAAATGTACTTACTGAGCAAATTGAAATCAGCAATGTGCAGACACTTCAAAAGAAGAAACAAAAGACTCCCAAGGGTTTCGGGATTCTTGATGGAGTAGTTCCGGTAACTACAATACAGAGCTCGGAGGGTAGCAGTGTTTGCAGACAAGAGCATGAGGTTCTTATGGCTGCTCAACCTCTATCCGCAAGCTAGGGAAGACAACGGCTTCTGGAAATNTAGTTCCGGTAACTACAATACAGAGCTCGGAGGGTAGCAGTGTTTGCAGACAAGAGCATGAGGTTCTTATGGCTGCTCAACCTCTATCCGCAAGCTAGGGAAGACAACGGCTTCTGGAAATAATATTCCATATGCTCAAGTTGATAAGGCTTCCAGTACCAAAGCAAACGCTAAGAAAGAATCATCAAGTCTTCCGAGAGCCATAAGAAGTTGCAGTAAGAAAAAAAAAACCAGTGAACCTGAAATAGACAAGCTTAAAAAATGAAGAAAATGTTTGATTCATTGTTTTAGTAGTGTTGTCTGGTTCTTGAGTGAGTGAGTAGAGATGACAGGTTTGTTGCAGATTTGAGACATGTTGAGCTCTTTGAACAACTAAAGATGATGTCACTTTCACTTTATGAAGTAAAACTAATAATAATTTACAAATGGTTTTATAAATATTTATAAATGATCTATAAACCATTATAAATGATTTAGAAACAATTATAAATGATTTATAAACCCTTATAAATGATTTATAAACCCTTATAAATGATTTATAAACCCTTATAAATGATTTATAAACCCTTATAAATGATTTATAAGCCTTTATAAAATGTTTTAAGACTTTATAATTGAATTATCTTTAGAAATTCTACAAATCCTTATAAATAATTTTATAAACCCTTATAAATAATTTTATATATTCTTATAAATGATTTATTGATTATTATAAAAAAGTTTCTATATATTCTTATAAACTGTTTATAAAAAAGATTTAAAAGGGTTTATAAAATGATTTAGAGAAAATTCTGATCAACCACATATTTTATTTATAATGGTATATAATTTTGATTTATAAGAGTTTATAAACTGATTTAAAAGATTTTATAAACTAATTATAGGTTTTATAAGTTGATTTACTAATTTTAAGGTTTTACTACTTTATGAGATTCATGTCTTATATGTCTTGTTTTGTGTAGAATATCTAGACAAACAGTGGAGATATAGCATGAGTTTGTTGAGCTACATAAGCATATTATCTATAATCTTTCATAACTTTCGTATAAACATTTATAAATGGTTTATAGATTTTATAACTTGTTTTATAAGCTTTTATAAATAATTTTACATATCCTTATAATTTTTTATAATCCTTTATAATGTGTATAAACTTTATAAATTTTTTTTATAAACCCTTATAAACTTTATAAATCTTTATAAACCAATTTTTTACGGATTATAAAAATGTATTCATGTGTTGTGATTACCTGATGATCATAGAATCAGAAATGGAATATTCAACTTCATATTAAAGGATTGTTGATTTCTCAAGTGATCATTGTTTCCTAGTTAAATATAGATTATAAGGCTTTATAAAGTATTCTATTTTTGATTTACAAGCCTTGTGTAATGCTGGAAAATAATTTAATAATACTTAAACTCTTATAACGCTTTCTAAAACTCTTATAACTGATATTTATAAAGGTTTATTAATTTATAGACCCTTATAAATTATTTACATAAGACATTTTCTAAACAATAAATCATTTTTTCCTAGTTAAATATAGATTATTAATAAAGCTTTATTAATGCTGCAAATAATGCTTAAACTCTTATAACACTTTCTAAAACACTTATAACTGGGATTTATAAAGGGTTATAAATTTATAAACACTTATAAATTCTTTACATAAGACATTTTTTATAAACCATAAATCATTGTTTCTTAATTATATATAGATTATAAGGCTTTATAAAGTATTATAATTCACTTATAAGCTTTTATTAACTCTTTATAGAACTTTGAAATCGTGTTTTATACATTATAAGGTCGTCGCTATCTAATTGCAAAAGTCATTCCAGACTTATAAAGGGTTATAATGTTTTTCAAAAACTCAACGTTCACAATCTCTTGGATCGATCTAATGGTTATAAAGTCCTTCCAGTGGGCGTCCCTTTGTACGACTCCGAGTAGATTCCCATCGAACACGTAATAAGTGTCACAAACACCGTAGCTAATAGCATGTCCAAAGAACAAATGTCAGTCAGTTTGTTTCACTTGCATTGGCTATGAAGAAATGAACATCAACATATTCAAACTAGTCAACTAAAATAGGTGAATAACTGAAAGAGTGTAGCTTACAATAAAATACGTTGACTTTTGAGAATCAATTGCCTCAACATAGGGAGCCATATCCCATCCTGCAGGAACAAAAATATTAGAATATACATATAAATAAAACTAAAGGACATAGTTTAATACAAGACACAAAAGAATGAGCAGACATCTTCTTTAGGCATTTTTAATGGCAGTACAACTAATGTCTGGTAACTTAATTCACTACACAAAACTGTTACTATCATTCTCTCCATGTCTACATCAAACCACTCTACAGAACACTAACTTTGCATCTCATCATTCCGACTACCCTTGTCTACATCAAAATACACTTGAAATTTGGGTTTACTTACTTTGCATCTCATCATTCCGACTACTCTTCTCAATCAAAAGGCACTGAGCCAAAATCATTGCCTGTTCGACATGTTTTAAGGTCACAGAATCTTTGCCACCTTCACTCTCATCGTTCACATTCGACGGCTACAAGCAGCTTGTCTTCTTCTCCTCCTCCTCGGAGAACTCAAATCCCTGAGGTCTCCATCTCTCCCATCACAGGAACCTCTGCAATTATATATGAACCCTAACATCGATAAAGCATATAAAGTTTCTAGCTTTCGATTATAAAGCATACAAAGTTTCTACCTTTCGATCTCACAACCACGTTTTACACAATCTCCTCTAGTTTTTGTCGACAAAAATCAAATAGCAGTTAATACCTTGAAGAGGCAAGATCGGAGTCTAAAGCTCGTTGCTTTACGAGGGAAGAACGAATGAGAAGCTCATCTGATTTGAGGGAGAGTCCCTGAGAAGAGTAGAGATTCGCCAATTGGGTCAGAGCGGCTGCTAACTGAAGCCCCAACTCCATTGACGATGAAGAAGAAGAAGAACAGAGCCGTGATTGAAGATTGTTCGTTAAAGATTCTAGAAACGAGATCGCCGCCGTGACGTCTCCGGATGCGACAAGATCCTCCACACGCTCGCTCCAATTTGGTTCGTCTTTGATTTCACGTTTCTTCTCCATAGTTTTAGACGAGGATCTCAAATCAAGAGGCTTTCCTCTCCGTCATACAACGGCGGCCAAGCTCCATGAAAACGGCGACTACGAATCTCCATGAATATGACGACAATGCTGGCCACGCTGATTGTGAAGCAAGGTTATCTTCGTCTTTTTGTATTGATAAGTCTAGGTATTAATGAAAATGTCCCTTGAGTTGTGGTAAAGTTGAATTGTGGTATCACAAAAATGGTAGTTATGCAATTTTCCCTTATAAAAAGGTAAAACTATATATTATTTTGAAATGCAACTTTTTAATTAGTATTTTATTTATTCTATGACACTCACTTTACTTTTCTAGTGTATAATAGTGGTAAGTAGGCAAAGGGGAATACAGACAGCGAATTAAGCACAACGTCAAGTGGTGTGGCTATGAACTTTGTAGCTCATCTTATAAGTTGAGATCTAGCTTCCTTCTCAATTCATATCAGCTGCAAAAATATACTTATTTTCTATTAGTATTTAGTATGGACACTATAATTAAGCTCTAACTTTTGATTTATTTAGAATAACAAGAATATAATATTGCTAATCAACCCATAAGCCTAACTATGGTTCACATATGTGGACCTATATATATCACCATTAAACTCAAGAGATTCTGACAACTTAAGAACTTCTTTACAAAATATCTCTTTACAATTCATAGACACTTATACAAGCTTCCATACACTTCAACTCCCTTAAAACCTAAAGAAACCGAGAGAGAGAGAGAGTACTACTCGGTTTTTACTTAATTACTTCTTTAGACTCTGTAGTAACATAAACTCATTCATCATCAATGGCAAAATCTGCATTCTTGAAATTTTACAAATCTGTGCTTATTATTACCATAATTCTATGCCATGAAATCCTACCGACCGAGGCAAGACACTTGAGGACTCATAGAAAGCCAATAAAAAACAGAACAACTAGTCCCACGACACACGGCGCCTCTGGTGGTGACTTGAGCACAACCGCCGTTAGCTCCGTGAAGAAGAGTGGCATTAGTGAAGAGGAGGAACACGGTGTTGATGAGTTCCGGCCAACAACCCCCGGAAACAGCCCCGGCATTGGCCATTCCACTAAAACTTGATGAATTATAAGATTTACCACATGCATAATTTGCTTCTCTTTATTTATTTCTTCTCGTCTCGTATCGAATTTTATTTTCTTTAATTATTGGTGAAAGTCTATTGTCTTCGTACATATGATCAAAATTTTATGATAGCAATCTACGCTTGGATTTTACGTTATATTGAGGTTTTCTAAAATAAGAAAGGATAGAAGGATATGAGAGGGTATTCGTTTTCACCTTAATCCGGAAGGTATATTTGCTAAATTAATAGAATATGATAACACTTGCTAGCAGGCTGCTCTCATGCCAGGAGGTCTCTGCAACCAATAAAGATTACATATATTAAAATTAATGCCATGGTTAAGTTGCTTAAAACTTTCATGATTACAGAGAACCAACAGTTTCCTATAGCTTTGGTGTGTAAGTGTACATGTGTGTGTCTCCTTCTCTTATGTGGCTTGTCATGTGACTTGCTCCATGGTTGTAGCCATTGTTAGAGTTGGAATGGTAGGTTTGATGGTTCTTGTATGGTCCGCGAGGGTCCTCACCCTGTCTGTATATGTCTAGTCCTCTTCTGTGGTTTGTCATCATATCTAAGAAGTGATCAGGCTCTTAACATGATCAGGCTCTTTAAGTCGTCCATCTAGTTACAAACACAGAAAAACCCACTTAAAAAAAAATGATCTCTCTCTATATATATATAAACGAAGAAGCTCACCTTTGAGTACATAGCCTGACTTTCTTTTCCTTAACTTTTCTTGCAGCGGCACCACGGCTGTGCTTTTCAGAAAGAACTCTTACTCTGTCTTCTTCATTAGCCCATCTCTAAAATAAGCAAAATATAGAGCAACATGAAGGCGGGCAAGACACACATGACATGAGAGAACTAAATACAGCATTCTCAAGACACTAACTCACCTGCCTCAAGGTCATTAATTAACCTATAAAGATTACGTCCTTTACATTTACATTTACAGATTTCAAATCGCTTCTGGCTACAAAACAACAAGCAGCGTTTTTTTCTTTAATAAAAAAAAATTGACCTAGCGTTACTTTACAATTGACCATGTAGTATTTTCTAATTTTACATAAAATGTCCTGAATCATGAGAAATATGTATATTTGATTTTTTTTCTTTCTCTCTTGTATTCATAATTTGTTGTGTGATTGCTTTCTTAGAGTAGACAGTTTAGAAAGATGTGCTTTGCCTATACATGTAGCATGTTGTTTCATCAAGTCTATCGATTTTGTTCTCTAATATGTAATGGAAAGCTTGGAACCTCTTACGAAACGTGATGTTCCAGTTGTACCAGAACTTCCCTATGCTGAATTAAGAGTGGTGAAATATTAGACTCTTAATTTTTGACCTTTTGATCACATCTTATTTGTGTAAGCAGGTCAAAAGAAAATGTAACATCTAAAGTAAATTAATTTTAGGCTGATCCATCAATCTATCTAAGACTTCTCTTCAGCTATGAATCTTGAATCCTCTATGTTTTGTACATCTCTGCCTCTCTCTCTCTCGTCCAATATTTCTTTGTCTTGTTTTTGCATGGTACAAGAGCGTTGTTTTGAAATTTTGAACTAGTACTATATTTTAACTTCATATACCACTTAATCAATGATTTAACCCCAATAATTTTTTTTTTTTTAGAAAAACGGGAACACCTAAGATCTCAAACCTCTTTAATCTTTACACTATGTCAGTGATTAACGCTTTTATGCAGTAAAACAAAATTATCATATTTTCTATTTTATCTTGAAATATGTGGGCTAACCCCTACGAAAAGATCGAATTTTCAGATAAAAGCTATAAATTGAAGTTTAGGATCTTTATCGTTGATTAAAAAAATACCAAATCAGATTATATATTTAATTTAATGTATTTTAAATTTATTTTCATGATACTAGAGCATCGTTTTGAATTTTTAAACTAGTAATTTATTTTAACTTCATATAATACTTAATGAGTGATTTTACCCCAATAAAACTTTATTTTTTAAAGAAACGGGAACACCTAAGGTCTAAAACCTCTTTAATCTTCATACTATGCCAGTGAATGATGCTTCTATGCAGTAAAATAAAAATATCATATTTTCTATTTTATCTTGAAATATGTGGCCCAACCCCTACGAAAAGATCGAGTTTTCCGATAAAAGCTATAAGTCGAAGTTTAGGCTCTTTATTGTCGATTAAAAAAATACCAAATCAGATTATATATTTAATTCAATGTATTTTAAATTTATTTTCATGGTACAAGAGCATCGTTTTGAATTTTTGAACTAGTAATTTATTTTAACTTCATATACCACTTAATCAGTGAACAAACCCTAATAAAACTTTATTTTTTGGAGAAACAGGAACACCTAAGGTCTAAAACCTCTTTAATCTTCATACTATGTCAGTGAATGATGCTTCTATGCAGTAAAATAAAAATATCATATTTTCTATTTTATCTTGAAATATGTGGCCTAACCCCTACGGAAATATCGAGTTTTCCGATAAAAGCTATAAGTCGAAGTTTAGGCTCTTTATTGTCGATTAAAAAAATACCAAATCAGATTATATATTTAATTTAATGTATTTTAAATTTATTTTCATGGTAGAAGAACATCGTTTTGAATTGTTGAACTAGTAATTTATTTTAACTTCATATACCACTTAATAAGTGAACTAACCCAATAAAACTTTATTTTTTGGAGAAACGAGAACACCTAAGGTCTAAAACCTCTTTAATCTTCATACTATGTCAGTATATAATGCTTCGATGCAGTAAAAAAAATATCATTTTTTCTTATTTTATCTTGAAATATGTGGGTTAACCCCTACGAAAAAATCGCGTTTTCCGATAAAAGCTATAAGTCGAAGTTTAGGCTCTTTATTGTTGATTAAAAAATACCAAATCGGATTATAAATTTAATTTAATGTATTTTAAATTTATTTTCATGGTACAAGAGCATTGTTTTGAATTTCTGAACTAGTAATTTACTTTACTTCATATACCACTTAATCAGTGAACTAATCCCAATAAAACTTTGTTTTTTGGAGAAACGGGAACACCTAAGGTATAAAACCTCTTTAATCTTCATACTATGCCAGTAAATGATGCTTCTATGCAGTAAACCACAAATATAATATTTTCTGTTTTATCTTGAAATCTGTGGGATAACCCCTACAAAAAGATCGAGTTTTCCGATAAAAGCTATAAGTCGAAGTTTAAGCTCTTTATTGTTGTTTAAAAAAATACCAAATCAGATTATAAATTTAATTGAATGTATTTTAAATTTATTTTCATGGTACAAGAGCATCGTTTTCAATTTTTGAACTAGTAATTTATTTTAACTTCATATAATACTTAATGAGTGAACAAACCCCAATAAAACTTTAGTTTTTGAAGAAACGGAAACACCTAAGGTCTAAAATCTCTTTAATCTTCATACTATGTCAGTAAATGATTCTTCTATGCAGTAAAATAAAAATATCATATTTTCTATTTTATCTTGAAATATGTGGGCTAAACCCCCTACGAAAAGATCGAGTTTTCCGATAAAAGCTATAAGTCAAAGTTTAGGCTCTTTATTGTCGATTAAAAAAATACCAGATCAGATTATATATTTAATTTAATGTATTTTAAATTTATTTTCATGGTACAAGAGCATTGTTTTGAATTTTTGAACTAGTAATTTAGTTTAACTTCATATACCACTTAATCAGTGAACTAACGCCAATAAAACTTTATTTTTTGGAGAAACGGGAACACCTAAGGTCTAAAATATCTTTAATCTTCATACTATGTCAGTGAATGATGCTTCTATGAAGTAAAATAAAAATATCATATTTTCTATTTTATCTTGAAATATGTGGGCTAACCCCTACGAAAAGATCGAGTTTTCCGATAAAAGCTATAAGTCGAAGTTTAGGCTCTTTATTGTCGATTTAAAAATACAAAATCAGATTATATATTTAATTTAATGTATTTTAAATTTATTTTCATGGTACAAGAGCATCGTTTTGAATTTTTGAACTAGTAATTTATTTTAACTTCATATACCACTTAATCAGTGAACTAACCCCAATAAAACTTTATTTTTTGGAGAAACGGGAACACCTAAGGTCTAAAAACTCTTTAATATTCATACTATGTCTGTAAATGATGCTTCGATGCAGTAAGAAAATTATCATTTTTTTCTATTTTGTCTTGAAATATGTGGGCTAACCCATACGAAAATATCGAGTTTACTAGTAAAAGCTATAAGTCGAAGTTTAGGCTCTTTATTGTTGATTAAAAAATACCAAATTCGATTATAAATTTAATTTAATGTATTTTAAATTTATTTTCATGGTACAAGAGCATCGTTTTAAGTTTTTGAACTAGTAATTTATTTTAACTTCATATACCACTTAATGAGTGAACTAACCCCAATAAAACTTTATTTTTTGGAGAAACGGGAAAACCTAAGGTCTAATACCTCTTTAATATTTGTACTATTTCAGTGAATGATGCTTCTATGCAGTAAAATAAAAATATCATATTTTCTATTTTATCTTGAAATATGTGGGCTAACCCCTACGAAAAGATCGAGTTTTCCGATAAAAGCTATAAGTCGAAGTTTAGGCTTTTTATTGTCGATTAAAAAAATAAAAAATCAGATTATATATTTAATTTAATGAATTTTAAATTTATTTCCATGATAGAAGAACATCATTTTGAATTGTTGAACTAGTATTTTATTTTAACTTCATATACCATTTAATGAGTGAACTAACCCTAATAAAACTTTATTTTTTAGAGAAACGGGAACACCTAAGGTCTAAATCCTCTTTAATCTTCATACTATGTCAGTAAATAATGCTTCGATGCAGTAAAAAAATTATCATTTTTTTCTATTTTATCTTGAAATATGTGGGCTAACCCCTACGAAAATATCGAGTTTTCTAGTAAAAGCTATAAGTCGAAGTTTAGGCTCTTTATTGTTGATTAAAAAATACCAAATCAGATTATAAATTTAATTTAATGTATTTGAAATTTATTTTCATGGTACAAGAGCATCGTTTTGAGTTTTCGAACTAGTAATTTATTTTAACTTCATATACCACTTAATCAGTGAACTAAC